CTGAGGAAAAAGATGCTACAAGGATGTTTCAGGATTATGTAGATTTCTTTCAATGACATTAGATTTTAATCCATCTGTTTCAATAATCATCTAATCCGTTGGGAGATGATTGATCACCCATCTCTTAAAAAGTTAGCCTCTGATTTAAATGATGATAAAACTGCTAGATAGCTCAGTGATTTAGGTACCTGGCTGATGAGCAAGAAGTTGGGAGTTTGATTCCCCCACTGGGTCTCCTGGGAGAAGAGCCATCCTGGGTGGCCTTGGGCAAGCTGCATTTTCTCAGGGCAGCCCCCAAAAGGGAGATAATGATAAAGCATTTCTCTATCTGGAAAACTCTAAAAAGGTTCGCCATGAGTCAGAATTGACTCAGCAGCCTATGAGGACAGAATTTTGGACAGAGACAGGAAAGAAATTAGAAATAAATAACTCCCTAGAACGGCAAAGCCTCAGTGGTCTTGTGAAAGGTGGCTAGGGTCAAGATCCTGCTTTACTTCCAGCCCAGATCAAGTACAGCCCTCAGCAAAATGCTGACTCAACCCCTTGGCTGTTGTCTTCCAGGTCGCATGCCTGTTTTGCCAACCTCCCACTCGAACCTGTGCCAGGACGCCTTCAGCGAATCCGGCTCAGAATACAAACAAGCGCGATCAGCGGCAAAATGACAGAAGTCCAAGAATCCAGCCCAGGAAATTAGGCAAAATTATTCTTGAGTCCTTGGCAAAGAGCAATGAAGTTGGATGAAGCACAAAAAAGGCCTGGCCAGCCTTGATGTCTTCAGCATTTCAGAAGAAAAAAAGCTTCTTAGAAGGGGAAGGAGGATTTACAATTTGCCTCTCTGTGGTATCCACTTTATAAATTAGTACAATTCGCCACAGAGCAGATTCGTTTGGATGATAGTGGACTGTCCTTTATTCAATTTTTTTTGGCAAAGTTTGGAATGCCAGATATCTTGGAGTCACCAAAATCTTATTGCACAAGGAATAAGTAAAGCAGTAGCTTCCCCTTGTGGAAGGGGGGTTGATGCTACTGGCAGGAGGAGATTTGACATAATTAAAGACTCCCTCCTTGTGTCTCGGGGCTCCCAGGGCTTTGAACAAAATGAAACTGATCACACACAGATTGGAGAAGCTATGGGACAGAAGTTGCAAGTCTTTTAGTGCTGAAAATGTCTCCCTGCCGGTGATGTCATCACCCTTCTGCAGGCATGATGTACGCAATAGGATTTGGGGCATTGTGTAGCAGTGACTAGAGCCTGATCAACAGCTCCAAAATGTCAGATTGCCTCTTACCTGGACCTGATTTCTCCTTGTTTCAGGAGCCTGGCCTCAGAAATCCTGAATGAATGTTTACTGAAAGTGCTTGCGGCTGGGACAAACACAAGTGTTTTGTGCTTTTGAAACGCAAAAAATCTTTGATTATGCCTTACAAAATGGTATGCTAATTTTCTGGAGATACATGGCAAAATGTTCCCATTTCTGGAGGAATATCACTCTATTACTTTCATTAAAGCAAACTTGGATTTTTTGACTCTCCAAAGAAAGGCTTTCTTTTGACTCTACTTCTGTGACCTTTCAGTGCCTTAAGCTCTTCAAATATTGCTCTTCCCCACCCATGAAGCTGCAACAATGTATCTACTTTGCAGAGTTTTTACTGACAATCCAGTTCCACACATGCTCAGTGTAATAAGAAATCACTGTCTCTCCCTTTTGAAAGGCTTTTTTGAACACCTGTATTTCAGTCCCTACAGTCTGGCTCCTTTCCCAATATAAAAAAAGCAGGCGAGACCAACCATTCTCTTTCAAGATAAGCAGGATTGGTTTTTTCATTTTATATGATCTATTTTAAATCTAGGAGCATTTAAAGTTACTTGTTTCTCCATGGGAGGGCAATTTAACTTTTTTAAAAATTAAAAAACCATAACCTGAAAACTGTTTCCCAAAAGTCTCCAAATTTGGCACAGAACAAGAACAGACTGTCTGTTACACCTGTGCAAAATTTGGTGATGATCGGAAGCCTTGTTTAAAAGTTATCATTTTTTCTTGGGGTTGCCCCCTTTTTTAGAATTGCTTTGTGGAATGCTGATTTGCTCTGTCAGCAGAAGACCATTGTTGTACTCTTCTACACCAATAATCATGTCTATAGCATTTCCCCCACATTCCAAATTTGTCCATCCTCAAGCTTTTACTGTCCTGAATACATTATTTGTTTCCTTGTTTCATTTCTAGGCCGTCTTTCTCCCAGTGAGGAAGAATATAAGGAATATAAATATAAAGAAATTTACATACGCTGGTACATCTATATTGAAAAGAAATAGAGCTGAGATTCTTTGCTGTTTTCACCAGCCGAATTGAACAGGGACAGGTTTTCCCAGCATAGAAAGGATCTTATTGTTACATCCAAAATCTGAATACTTCTAAAAGCAATTTGTCTCAGAGTGTAAAAAGGACTTCATTACAACTGATGTTGCTTAAGGGTCGTTCTTGCATTATTCGTGTGAATATTCATTGTGTTCTTCATTAAGAGGGTTGAATTCATAGGATTTACACAAAAGTTGACTTAACATGTGTTATTCATTCTGTGGGTCTCCTCTAGCTGAGAGTAACTATTGGACTTAGCCCCCGAATTGCAATTCATATTGTTTCGTGACTTTTGAAATGTCACTCCTTTTCCTTCGGATGACCAAAAAGCAACACATTAACCGGAACTGCATCGCTTCTCCTTCCTTGTTCTTAAGCTCTAGTTGTACCGTACTGTCATATAGGTGTTACAATAAGGATCCTATTAGAAAAAAAAGTTGAGTGCCCTAATTCAGCACAGCAAACAGCATGATTGGATACACCCAAATCCAAAGTCATCATTAACAGAGACAAAGGCCAAACCAAACCAAACTTCAAAGTCGTGCTCTTGGTATGGAAAGATCTGCGCACACATTTCTTTAATAATAATCATCATGCGTCAGCAAGTCGATTCTTGACTTACGGCAGCCCTTTCCGGGGTTCTCCAGGTATAGAGTATTCTGAAGTGGTTTCCCATCCCCTTCTTCTGAGGCGGTTCTGGGATGGGGCAGCGTGCCCAAGGCCACCCAGGCTGGCTCTTCTCCCAGGAAGCCCCGTGAGGGAATCAAACTTTTAACCTCTGGCTCCGCAGCCAGAGACCTCAACCACTGAGCTATTCTTCTGTGTTCAGCAAGATTTGTTTTTTGGGGGGGGGGAGTTTGCAATTCTGCCTTGTGTGCAGACTTTCCTTTCCTTAAAGCATTTCCTTTCTTGTCCCATATTGTCCTTGTGTCGCGACTCTGTTTTCCTCTGCCTTACCGCCTACAGGAGGGGGGGCATTGATCAGGCTTTTGCCCAAGCCGCCTTGCGTGCCACGAGGAAGGTGGCTCTTCCTCATGGTTGGTTTGGGCACCAGTAGCAAGAGGCCAGAGGGGGGCGAGACGTCCTTCCAAGCCCTGGGCATCCTCTTGCAACTGGCTCTTCAGAGATCCTGGTCCTTCGGAAGGCGCTCTCCTCCATGCCCTTGCTCCCTTTGTGCCGTCTTCTGTGGGAAACGGCTCTTAAAACTGTGATATTTCTCTAATCACTGATATCAAGGTGCAGCGAGGCGGTGCATTCTGGGAAAGCAGCGCCAAGCCAAGGGACCAAAGCGCTCAACTGCAAAGGGAGGCAGCTTTCTGGGTCAGCGAAAGGGAAGGACCTTATATATATTTGTGGGGTGGGGAGAGGGACAGACATTCACTGGGGAGCCTTTGAAAGCATTCCATTCCCTAGGGTCAACCTGTCTTTTGGATGAACGGACTGTGACTCAAGCAGGGGAGCGGCAAATAAGATGAACTTCTCCTGCTGTGCATCACTCTCAGAGATGAGAACCATTTCTTAAACGACGGGATCTCCTGATCCTCTCGCGTTCCTGGGGACTGCCCCGAATACTCAATGGATTTAGGGGACTTGTACCCTGAAAGGTCACCTGACCTATAACTGATCTTGAGCCCACACTAGAGATGGGCTCAAACCGGCACAAACATTTCCTTCCCCCGTCTCCCCAGCTGGATTTCCCACTCACCAGCTGGCTTGTGCTCCTCTCCTCCTCCTCTTCAGCTGTTCAGCCAGTCCCCCCACAGGAGCACAGGCTTCCCCGCCCCACCTCCTTGACCGATCGCCCACTCAAACCAGGAGGCTGGGCAGGCAAACCTGTGCCCCTGCCAAGGACTGGTCAAACAGTCAAAGAGAAGGAGGAGAGGAGCGTGCTCTGGCTGGTGAGTGGGTCATTAGACAAGGGGGGGGGAGGCGGAAGAGAGGAACGTGTGACATTCGTGGTACCGTGCATATGAACTGGCACGAACCTTTGAATCGAAGTTCGTGCCCATCTCTACTCAACATTGCCTGCCCAGCAGTGCCTTCTAAGGCCCTCACCCAACTATAATGCCAGGCATCTGTATGATGTCGAGCCCTGGCCATTAAAATGGGATGAAACTCTACAACTGTGCAGATTGTAGATGTGCCTCGGACTCGTCCGTCAGGAACCGCTGGCGTCCCTTTCTGCATGGTCTCCGGCTCGCAGCTGTGCAAGCTGTAGATCATTTGGTTGACACGAGTGGGGATTTCTCCTCTCTGAGGAGCGGGTGGAGGCCTCCTTCGGCAAACTCTGCCAATGCCTGCCTGCTCATGCAACGGACTGTTGAGTTAAAGAGGTCCACAAATGAGGTCTCTGGCTGCAGCTCCAGTTCGATTCCCCCACTGGGCCTCCTGGGAGAAGAGCCAGCCTGGGTAGCCTTGGGCAAACTGGACAATCCCCAGACGAAGGAAATGGGAAACCGCTTCTGAGTATTCTCTACCTGGAAAACCACGAAAAGGGTTGACAGGATTGATTCGAGGGCACATAATTATTATGGAAAGATCCTGGCCTATGTCTGTCTCAGAGGTGAACACCGTCCACTTTGAAGAAGAGAAAAGACCAGACTTGCTTCCCTCGCGCTTGGTGGCCTCTACCCACCTCCTTACCTGGAGATAATGGTAGGACCGATCCTTGGCCTTTGTTTCTTGGAGCATCAAGGCTTTCTCTGAGCCACTTCCTGGGCCAGGATAGGCCTCTCGGGCTTGGCTGACGGTCATGGTGTGCCAGGAGCTCCTCTTGAGCGTCTGGCCGTCGAGGGACATGGACATGCCGGCGCAAGCAAGACACTTGCCTTCTCCACCTCCGCTCTTCAGACTTTTCAAGGTCAAATCTCTGAAGGCACTTTCAGGGGTGTCCACGCAGTACTGGGTGGACTGGTCGGCGGCGTGCTGCCTCCCGGACACCATGTAGCTGCTGTCGCTGTCCAGGTTGTCGTCGGAGCTCCACCAGCCCATCATCTTGTTCCGGTGGCGGGAGGAGGAGGAGGTGGTGGAGGTGGCGGCAGCTTCCGGGGGCGGGAGGAGGAGGAGGTGGTGGAGGTGGCGGCAGCGGCAGCATCCGGCTTGCGCTCTTTGCTCTTGCTGCGCTTGCCGTGGCGTGACTGGCGGTGGGGGTGGTGCGGGTGGTGCGGGTGGTGGGGGTGGTAGCCCCCTTCGCCCCCGCGGCCTTCCATCTTGGTGCCGTTGTACTCCCTCTTGGAGGGGGCCTCCAGGGAATGGGACTTGGCAAAGAGCTTCTGGACCGAGTGGACCAGGTGCCGGATACGGCTGGGGCTCTCGCTGCGTGGCTGCTCGGTGCTGCTGGCCCGCTGGTACTGCAAGGTGTGGAAGCCGTCGTGGTGCAGGGGCAGCTGCTTCTCAAACTGGTCGAGGAGGGTGGGGGGCAGCCGGTTGATCTTGCCGGACGGATGGGCCGCAGCGGCGGCAGCCGCCGCCATGCACTCGTCGCAGGAGTCGTACTGCTGGGGCGTGTGGTGCATCCTAGGGAAGGTGCTGCTGCTGCTGGCCCCAGAGAGCGGTTCCGTTAGGCTGAGGGGCGCCTCGGCCGAGCTCCGCGAGGGGCAGTAGTGGTCCAAAGAACACGGCTCGCTCGGACTGAGGAGGTATGGCGGGCGAGCTTCCTGGTTATGGTGGATGTATTCCATTGGCGGGTCACAGGCCTCTGGGACACAGTGGCAGGGGTGTTCACGTGACTGGCTGCGCTCCCCATGGTAGCTCTTCATGGTGTCATAACCGTCCGCTCATCTTGTCGTTTGGGCCGCGGCGATAGACAAACATGCGGCGCCTGGAAAAGGAATAGCAGAAAGAGAGGGATGGCATGAAAGCACGGGATGTGGGAGGAGTATAATCAAGCGGTCATAGAGAAAAAGCTCAGATATTTCCTTTAAAATGTAGTCTATTACTTAGAGAATACCATATTTTTCCGTGTATAAGATGCCCCCACTTTTCTAACCCAAAATTAAGAAATCTAAGTGGGGCTTAGCAAATGTGTAAAAAGCATCAAAGTGCCGCAGGATGGCTTTGATCCCTGCTTTCTTCCTTTGTGCTAAGCCCCATGTGGCTTAGCAAAAGGAGGGGGAAAGGGATTGAAGCAATTCCACGACTGCACAATCATTTTGATCCCTTTCCCACTTATACAGCCACAGGATTGCTTTGATCCTTCCCCCCTCCTTTTGCTAAGCCCCATGGGACTTAGCAAGCAGAGGGGAAAGCAGGGATCAAAGCGGTCCTGCAGCACTTTGATCCCTGCATTCCTTTTGCAAAGGCTTAGCAAGTGGAGGGGAAAGCAGGGATCAAAGCCCGGGAAGATCACTTTGATCCCTGCTTTCCCTTCCACTTGATTTTTTCTCCTCAGCTTCCTTCCGTGTATAAGACGACCCTCAATTTTTAGTGTAGTCATACATGGAGTGACTGGCTGCCTGAGTATTGCTTTGTGTGCGGTTTTTGGCTCTTAAGGAGAAAGGGGTAAACGTGTTTTAAACGACGGACGGACGGACGGACAAACAGACAAGGCTTCTACTTTTCTTAAGCTGGGCTGGAGGTATTCCCCGGCAGATTGAAGGCTCACTTTAAAGGAGATTGCTGCTATTACAGTGACCCTTTCCTGTGTGATCAGTTGTGCAGCTGTCCGATCACACTCAACTCACTTTCCGAGAACAGCCCTGCAGCCCTCCTTTCGTCTTCTCCTTGTTTTATCGGCAGCCAAAATAAGATGTAGGAGAGCCAAGGGCCATGGACAGATTAGAGACCTCGATTCCAAACCCAGCCTCCCTGCAAAAACTTCCGTCAATCCCAGGGCTGCAGGAGATGTATTTATAGACATTCCCTTGAGCAGCTATAGCCTCTCAACCCCTCAGCCATTAGTCAAAAGCAACTGTGGCATGCAGCCTGAGAGTCGGGCTTGGAAAGGATCCGAGAAGGCAGGTGTGCAAATGAAAGGTGGTGGGGCGAAAGTCATCTTTGCTGACCACAGGGTTTCCAACTTCAATATCAAGCGGTGTTTCCCTCAGACTGGACCCACTTCAGGGTCAGAGTGTAGCATATCACTCTGGTAAAAGATGGTCAGAATTTGAAATAACTACTGTAGTTGCGAGAACTCGGTATAGATGCCTTGCTATACCACGGATCTAAGGACGAAAAGCCCAAATGACTGAGTGGGTTGGAAATCCAGAACAAGATGTTCTTATATGAGTTCCAAAATGGCCAGTGCTGGACACAAAGCAACACTTATGATGTTGATGAAAATGCTGCATACAAAAAATAATAATATATTTTTGAGACTGAGGATGGCAAAGAGTTAGATGCAGTCAGCTCTCTTAAATAAATGTGAGCTTTGGTCTATTTAGAAAGAGATGCTAAATATAGTGGTACCTCGCTAGACAACGACCCCGCTGTACGAGAAAATCGCAGGATGATGACTTTTTGCGATCGCTATAGCAATTCGCAAAACAGTCATGACACAAAGCAACACTTATGATGTTGATGAAAATGCTGCGTACAAAAAATAATAATATATTTTTTTATGTTTCACAGGGCAGCCATTTTAACAGCTGATCAGCGCTCAGAAAATGGCTTCCCTATGGGCGATCTTTGCTGGACAACGAGGTAATTTCCCCATTGGAACGCATTAAATGGGTTTCAATGCATTCCAATGGGGAAAGGCTTTTCGCATGATGACGATTTCGCATAACAGCGAGTTTCCCGGAACGGATTATTGTCGTCATGCGGGGCACCACTGTAGATGAAACTCTTTTGAAATATAAGTCTGTAGAAAATCCTTCACATCCCATGGATTGATAGGATAAAGAATAGAGATGGGCACGAACTGCCAGTTTGTAGGTTTTTGTCAGTTCGTCCTCTGCTTTCCAAATGGATTGATAGGATAAAGAATAGAGATGGGCACGAACTGCCAGTTTGTAGGTTTGTGTCAGTTCGTCCTCTGGACAAACATATGTTCGGTGCCTCCCAACCCCACCTCTTCTGGTGGGCACCCAATCAGAGGTAGTGCCCAGGGGAGGCGGGGCAGGGAAACTGGGGTGCTGCCTGAGTGGGCATCTGCTGGAGGAGGCGTGGCTGAGAAGCACCAAACAACTTGCTTGTCAGGAAGCGCACGAACTGCCAAAACGGTAGTTTGTGCCCATCTCAAATAAAGAATGAAGAGGTACTTCATTGGAAAGGAAAGCAAAAAAAGAAAGATAAAGGTTGGATAGCTTAATGTTTCAGGTCTCTGGCTGTGGAGCCAGTGGCTGGGAGTTCAATTCCCCCCTGTGCCTCATGAGAAGCAGAGCCAGCCCATGTGGCAAACTGCACAGTCCCAGTGCTGCCCGCAGAAGAAAGGAACTTCTGAATGTTGTCTATCTAGAAAACACTGGGAAGAGTTGCCAAATGTCAGAATTGACTTGACGGCACATTATTATTCTTACTTACTGAGAAATGCATGCGAGTTCTCTTATCTCAGACATATGAGTTGTTATGACAGATATAACATTCTGCGATGGATCATTGAAGATCAAGGTTGATGGGGATGAGGTAGAAGAAGGTGTGGATGTGTAATGATCAAGGCTGGGCCTTAATCAAGAACCATTAATCCACATGGTGAGAGAGAGTTGTAGATATTCCTTGATGGCAGCCAATCTCAACAACTGAGACGGTGCCCAAAGAGAGAGATTCAAGGCCATCCAACGGAGGCCACCAAACGAGGTTTCTCCCCTCCTTGTAATGATACAGCTCTGTGACAGCAAGAGAGAAGTAAGTGACAGTGAATAGTTTTCCAATTTTTCCCCATTTCTTTTTTTGCCTTAAAAAAAAGAGAGAGGCACAGATTCGTTTTTAGCCGCTCATAAAAAATGCAAGAAGGAATGAATGAATGAAGTTGGAGTCGGGAATGGGGGAAGACAGGGAGAATGACGGAAAAGAGAACGGAGTGAGGAGGGGAAGCGGGTATTTTTTCTATAGAAAAGAAGGCACAAGGTCACCTCGTTCCTGGAGTAGATTTATTGGCGCTTCACAGCTATAGGTTCCAGCAAGCCACAAATCACCCGTCAATTATTCATAAATATGAAACTGCAGCATGAAAAAGGGACCGAGGAGGGCCAAGGACAGCAGGAGTACCCATCCACGGATTGTCCACAGAAGCAGCTGTGGCTATTGAGCCAGGAGGGGATGCAGCTGTGCTGGATAATTAAAGGGCTGTGGACACATTGAGCCAGGACCAGATCTTAAGAACCTCTGGTCCTCATGAACATGTGCAGGCTAAAAGGGACTCGCTTTGCTCCACACCGCTCTGCGAGCAGCTGCTGCCACCTCTTACAAAAGTGGTCCTTGACCTCATGCACGTTGATCAGCCCTGATCGTCTTTGCTGGATGCAGACGTTTCACTTGTAGGGGATTCAGGTGGGGGGTCTGAACCCTGGAATGACGGCAACGGGGGCCATTCAAAGCATTGACCTATTAGTAAACTTTTTTTTTCAAACGGGGGCCTGTTTGGAACCATGCTTCGCAAGGGGAATTGACCAAGAAATCGCCAAACGGGGGCCTGTTTGGAACCATGCTTCACAAGGGGAATTGACCAAGAAATTGCTGGAGTTTCTGCAAACTTGCATGCTGCCTTTAGCAGATTCGGCTGGGAGGAAACTTTCCGGGCTGGGTTGCAACCTCGCATGCTGCCTTTAGCAGGTTCGGCTGGGAGGAAACTTTCTGGGCTGGGGAGGCTGTCCATCCATCCAGCACTAACCAATGGTTCCTTCCCAGCATCTGAATAAAAAAGGAAGCCCCGCCTCTCTGCTATGTGTCTTCACCCCTCTCTTTAGTCTGTTGGAAGCAGTCGGTTTATTAGTTTGCTGTTGATCTGTTGACAACTGTAAGCAAGGAAACATTTCTGTTCTCTATCCTACTAATATCTCAGAGCGAGTTATTGAGACTGTAAGTGCCAGTTAAGGAGAAAAGGAGTACATTGGCGCTAACTTGGCGCTATTATCCTCTGTGAGTCTCTGTACTTCTACTGTATAGCAAAAGGAATTTTAACCAACAATTCCAAACTCTGCAACAGAAATTCAAGATTAATAGGGGCAGCTGCAGGATTCTGAGGTCTACTTTCAGCTTCCTCATCACAATCATCTTCATGTCCTTTCTCCCAATGGCTCAAGAACTCTCCTGAGCATCACTGAAGGAAACCCAGAATCTAGAAATGTTTCTTGAGGGATCCTAAGCCTCCTCCTTCAGCGTGGTTGCTGAATTTGGGGCCTTGAAGCCTGAAAAGCTATTTCCCCCCCCAAGCTCCAAGCAAGGCACCTCAAAATCTAAAGCCAGCCCCGTGTGTGCTTCATTTCCATATCAGTTGTTATGTGCACAGCTGGTGTGTGAGGGATTTGTTTTAACCTCATTAGGACCCTTCAAAAAGCCGGCTTCCAAAGAGGAAATAACTTATTCTCCTGTGTAGCTTGACTAATTAACAGACGTCATTAGCAATCTTGTTAGCATATTAAGCGAGGGCGCCATAGGCTACCTGGCTCTGCAACTGCATCTGGAAAAGTAAATTGTAACCAGGGAAAAAACAGGTATCTTCAGAATTATGTCTTCTTGGGTTCGGCCAAAAGCCACGGAGCAAAAAAAGGAAGAGAAAGGTTAGGTTCTCAGCCTGAAAGGTGAGAGGCATTGAGAAAGAAGAAAAGGAAAAATAAATAAATCTGAGAAGCCCTTCATAATGTGAAGGGGCAGAATGTGTGAGGAAATTGAGTGTGGCTTTAATTTAAATAAATAATCTTCCTGTAATTACACAGGGGATAA